CCTCCCGCTGGCGGACGCCTCGGGGCGCCTCTCCTCCTGCCACCCCTCTCCCCGGGCCCTGCAGCCACAGGTATTTGGAGGTTGTGGGCTTTGAACCCCACAGGTCGCTCCCGGTAGAAAGAGAGGGGACCTGATACAAGATGGGCCGGGTGCTAAGGCAGCAGCTTCTCTGGTTCATTCTTGAGAACAATTAAAAAGTGTTTTGAAAGGGAAAAATATTTTTAACCAAAATATCTCCGGCTTTGAACCCCACAGGTCGCTGTCCCAGTCCCGCGGCCTGATATCAAAATGGGCCGGGTGCTAAGGCAGCAGTTTCTCTGGTTTATTCTTGAGAACAATTAAAACGAGTTTTGAAAGGGAAAAATATTTTTAACCAAAATATCTCGGCTTGCAGGAATAGCACGTTTATTTTCTAGCATCATGTCCTGTGCCGATAATTCAGAAACGCCGCCATAAGTAGGTCCCCTGCTTTCTCGCTGATGTGAGGGAACCTCCGTTTTCCAAACAAACCAAGGGCTGATGCTTATTATTTCACTCAGAGAAAAGACCCTCCCCTACCCTCAAAGGCTTTCTAGTTTACAAAGTGCTTTTAAATCCATAATAACCGTTATTTTACTACACAAGGCACCAGTAATTAATTCACCAATTCACAAAACAATCCTATGTGGCAGGCATTATTTTTTATTACTTATTTTATTTAATTTTTTAAAAAAATTGATTTCGGACAGGAAGGAGAGGGAGAGAGAGATAGAAACATCAATGATGAGAGAGAATCATCGATTGGCTGCCTCCTGCACCGATCCCTGAGCCTGCAACCCAGGCATGGAACCAACCCTGACTGGGAATGGAACTGTGACCTCCTGGTTCATAGGTCAATGCTCAACCACCGAGCCGAACTGGCTGGGCATGGGCATTATATTTTAAATTCACATTTTACAGATGAAGAAGCACCATCCTACTTTACAAATTAGAAACAGAGGTTTAAAGGGCTTAAGTGATTTGCCAAAGGCCATAGAGCCACTGAATGGTTGAGTTGTGATTTGATTTGTTTTCAGATAGTCTGAGAGCTGATATTTTAACCACTACTTGTTATGTTATCCTTCAATAAAGGAAGAAAGGAAGGAAGGAAGGAAGGAAGGAAGGAAGGAAGGAAGGAAGGAAGGAAGGAGAGAGAGAGGAAGGGAGGAAGTGTGCTAGTTATATCTGTCTGTTTTGTAATGTTAACAAAAACATTGTATCCTAATGAGACAATGTTTGCAAATTTTTTTCAGTCATATTTTTAATATATGCAAAATTAAGTATTTCAATGCCCAAAGATATGGGTCATTGAGTTTAACATCATTAACCAAATAACCAATATTCTAAATGTTTAAACTCCTGTTTATATCAATATGGCAGCCAAAGCAATTCCTTATAATAATGTGTTAGGTCACTAAGAAGCAGATGCTAAAATGGGGTTGATGTGCAGGACTTCCTTGGGGAGGGAGCTATAGAAGGCAGGGAGGGCCTTCAGGTTGTCATGCAGGGCTGACCCTGTGGAAAGAGAGAGGGTGCCCATCTTCCCGGGACAGAGGTTCCACACTGCACCACTGATGAGGAGGTTTGAAGGAGGGCACATCAGAGAATCCACTATCTGCCCTTAAGAAACCCACAGCTTCTACTGTGAATTGTGGGAAAGACATTTAACTTTAAAAACATGGTAAGTGCAGCAATATACCTCTGCAAAGATATTAAGAAACATGGAAGGGAGTCTAATCTGGGCTGAGAGGTGACTCTGTGCGAGTGTGTGTGTGTGTGTGTGTGTGTGTGTGTGTGTGTGTACATGGTGAGGCAGGCAACTATTTCAGAAATCCTTCCTGGGGGAGGTGACAACTGAGCTAAGTCAGACAAGAGTAGGGCCTAGAAGAAGGGAAAAGCAACAAAAGGCTGAGTACTAGCCTCTAACACTTTGCTGACAAGTGGCAAGGGCTCGGTAACATTTCTTATATTGTCCAGTATTTTATCATCATCACCACTTAACTTTTCATCCTTTTATTTCTTGACCTCTAACTCCACTGGGAGGTAATCAAGGCTGGCAGCATGTCCTGCTTCTTTGTTTTCCCACAGTGCAGGGCAGGGAGGGTGGGATTGGAGAAATTTGCTCCCTTCAACTCTCTTGTTTTGTAAAAATAAGTAAATAAATAAATATTTATTTATTCCACATCATCTTTTTCTCCCACCACAATTCAAGCTTGAAACCCAGTGATGAAGAGGAAATAGCTTGGGGATGTAGTGTTTAGTTCTCCCCGTTAGTTGTTAAGTTTCCTGAGGACTGTGTGTGTCTGTTCTGTTCCCTGGGACACCCATAGCGCCTGCTACATGGCAGGCACTCAAGAAATAGTTGAATTAGTATCAAATGCAGAACGAATGTTGGTAACTGAGAACAGAATGCTAGCTCTGTGGACCGGACATAGACTTTAGCACTGAGGGGAGGTTGGTGCCTCCTTGTTGGCGGGTGCTGATGCAATAGTAGGGGCCCTTGTGGCCAGGAGGATTGGTGTCAGCACAGAGAACGGGAAGCTAGGGAGCTCGGCAGGCACGGCAGCTGGAGGAAGAGGAGTGTCGTGCCTCTTAGAGGACAAGAAGGGAGGAATGCTGGGTGTGGGTTAAACCTGGACATTGTTGCCTCCTTGCTGACTTGGAGACCCTCTTTCTGAATTGTACCTCTGGACTGATGTGCCAATGGGTTAAGCACATTCATTTGTCATTTCCTAATAATTGGAAAATTTGGGCCTCGTATGACTACTAGAAAGAGAGAATTGTGAAGGTGCCATTGGTTGAAAACAGACCAGAAAGTTAATATTAATTTTGCTTGGCAGGGTCTCTTTGACAATATAATTTAAGTAATGACAGAGGCAAAACTCCTTTTGAAGGAGGTTCACCGTGTATTAGCTGTTGGCTACATGAACACTAGGCCTTCCGGAAACACACAAGTGAGTCTATTCTACTGGGACAATACACTAAAAGTTCCCCAAGGATCTCAAAGAGGAATGTGCAATGTCCTGCAAGAGCATCCCCAAACTCTAGCTGCTCACGTTATGAATAAGGTAAAAACTCACCACTAGGTGACAGTCTATCCGCAGAAATTGCTTTCTCTTTTAATGACTCTCAAACTGGAAGTTTCTGGGAACATCAGTAAAAATAAAAATATTAGGTAATCTTTTCCTGATCCCACTTCCCTGTCCTCCTTTCCCCCCAAATCTGTGCAGTTGACAATCTCAATTTTAACTTTCTCCTTTAATCTGTCTTTTAATATTAAAATAATGAAAAAGTGATGTTTAGAAACACAGAAATTAGACATAGAAAATTAATCCCCCCCCCCCCCCGCCTCAATACTGGTTCTTTGGGTTTTGAACATTAATATGGCTATAAAAAGAGTATGCTCAGTGGTCTTAACTTTTTGATATGTAGAGGATACTTAAAAATCTGGTTCAAGTTTAATTTAGTATTTTCTCCCTCATGAATATAACTCTGCTGCCTTTTAGCATTTGAGGTAAAAATGGGGCGATTGGGAGAAATATGTTTTTATCTCTTTTATGAAAAAATTTTATTTTATGTTCCTTTTGAATGAAGGGAAAACTCCCTGGAAAGAATTCAATAAGTGCCATTGAAATTTAATTTGCTTCCACCCAAGGCTGGTTAGATTCTGGGTAACAGCTGACTTTGGGTGCCAATAGTCTGGTCACAGGAAGGCTCAGGCCCCTCCCGTCAGTTGGTCGAAGGGGGCCCCGATGGCTTCTGGAGGGGCACGTGGGGAGAATTTGTTGGTCTTGTTTCTACTTGTTCCTTCTGCCCAAACCATCAGAGCCTTGTTATCCTAGAATAGCTCACTCAGATTCCATCTTTTGGCGTCATTTGCACTGTCCCATTGATCAAGTTCTTCTGGGCCTACTGGCCTGTGAAGTACCCCAACATTTTACCACTGTCCTCCATTTCTCAGGTTAGGTGTGTCAGCTGTAGCCAAATTCTGTTAGCTCCGAAAGAAAAATATGCAATCTATATTTGGCCATGCACTTAAAGGTGGACCAAGTAGGTTAAACACAAAAACAAAACTAAGTACATAACAGTATTTATTCAATTCTTCCATTTGTATTAACAGAAAGAAAAAAAAGAGGC